CAATTCTGTGAATCTATTAATTACTTATTCTACAGTAACATAGTAATGTCCTGTATGTCCCATTATCGTGCCTATAGCAGAAAAGTGGATTGGGTTGCTATTGAGGTTATATGAACCTCACACTGAAAACTTTAGACAAGACAACTTCAAAACCTCAGCACCATTTCATACCATCTTATTTCCAAACACAGTCATTTTTATAAGAAGATAAAGGCCTTACCGGGGGTCCACCGTCTCCAGGCAAGCCAGGTTCTCCAGATTCTCCAGGTTCACCCTGTAAAAATTGCAGGTCAGGACCATGAAATATAGCCATGCCCTTTGCTTTTGATATTGGGAAGAGCTGTACTCTAGCCCTCACCACTGACCTTCCTACCCCACCTGTTCTCCTTTCTCTGATGATCCTGGAGTTCAAACCTCCGTCCAGTGGTGTGTATGACCTCACTCTGCAAGAGCCACTCTGGGTATTTTAGAAACCAAACTTCCTAACCCCTCAGACCACAAGCTTGCCTGATTCCATGGTGGCATAAAAGCGTAAGAAGAGCCTTCTGGGTCATGCCAGTGGCCCAACTAGTCCAGTGCCCTGTCCTCACAGTGGCCAACACATTATGGGAAGCTCACATGCAGGAACTGAGAGGAAGAGCAGTTCCCCTTCTGCGGTTTCCAGCAACTGGTATTCAGAAGCATGGCTGCCTCCGACCATGGAGGCAGATCATAGCTATCTCTTGCATGACCACCAAGAGCTGAAAAGAGGAATCTAGCAAGTGTCTTGTCTAGCTTAAAGGTTTAAGTGGCCAAGGATGCTTGAGCAGATTCTCAATCTCCTTGCTGTGCACAGTTCCACCCTTTGATGGTTAAATGGTCCCCTGATGGCCTCTTGGTGAGAGGAACCCTCAAAACACTGGAGCTAACCATACTCTTGGCTTTCCTTCAGATGTCTCTCCCTCTGAGCTATAGCCTAGGCAAGGTCCATCGCTTGCCTGACTTTACCTATATCCAGGTAAAAACACTGCTCAGATGCTCATCTCCTCCTCTCAAATCCCCACCCCATAGGACTTGGGCATAGAGATGAGCCAAAGATAGGTTACCTTCTCGCCAACAGATCCAGGATTTCCAATCCCACCTGGTGGACCTTGAGGCCCATCCGCTCCTGGGGCCCCAGATGGACCCCTTGGCCCTGGAGGCCCTGGAGGACCCTGGAGGATAGGAAAAAAGAGACATTTAATTGGTGAAAAAGTTAACCTTTTGACATAAGCTGACTGCGGCAATAGCAACACTTCAGGGGAAATGGGAACCTTACCATTTGGCCAACATCGCCTGTTTCGCCCTTCTCACCAGGAGGTCCTGGTAAGCCCTGTGGAACAGTGTCAGAAGAGTGAGTAGAGCATCTGAATCACACATTTCTTTCCTTTCCCTTCCTCCCATAAATCTCCCTTAACATGTTTTGGAAATTACCTGCAACCCCACAGGTCCTGGAGGGCCAGGGAATCCTCTTGGTCCTTCGTCCCCTTTCTGACCAAAGAGACCCTGCTGTCCTCGAGGGCCAGGCTCACCATCAGCTCCCTAAAAAACACCCCCCAAAAATCCAACCAAAATGAATGAGGGGATGGAGTAAATCCCTGATGAAGGACATGGTTGGGGCTTTTTCAGATCAGGAAGGAAGGACAGATTTCAGCACAGCAAATTTACCCTACTGTGGCTGCCATCTCAAAATGGAGCATGTTTCATTTGGATGGCTGGTAACTGGTGGAAGAGAGAACCTTAAGGAAATGAGTCTCTCCTCTTTTTGTTTCTACAGTCATGTCCCCAGCCAGGGCTTGATTTCGGGGTGGCCTTTGAGGTGTTGTGGGCTCCAATTCCCACCACCCCTGATCATTGAATATGTTGACTTTTGCGAGTTGTGGTCCAAAAACATCTGGATGTCACCACATTGGCTACCCCTGCTTTAATTTTGAGGAGAAAGGGCTGTGAGGTCCCAACTCAGCCTGAAGCGAGAAGACCAGATCCTTTAATCCTAGGAAACAGGTTGTGACTTTTCAATGGTAGAGGAAGGCACTCTGAACATGATCAGAGACTATGATCTTCACATATTCAAGGATTCCTCAAATGAAGTCCAGTACAGTTCCCATATAAGTGAAGTTTGACAAGATATTGGATGATTGAAAATAGTAGCCATACTTACAGCTGGACCTGGTTGACCAATTGGGCCCTGTGGACCAGTAGGGCCTGGTGGACCCTGGAAAAAAAGAGATGCATGCTCAGTGCAATGATCAAGGGGATAGCAAGCTGCCTACCTGCAAACGACATGTAATTGATTATGTTCTCCCCCCCACTGCGTTTCCTTTTCATTGAAACAAACAGGGTGGAATGACGTAATAACAAGATAACCAAATTACATAATAATGCCAGGTTCAGTGGAAGATGAACACAAGGAAATGAAATTCAGGTTTGGTAGCAAAATGAAAAGAATGCTGCATGAGACCATTATTATTATATACTTCTTTATACTCCGCCTTTTCCCATGACAGTTCTCAAGGCAGCTTACAGATAAAAACAAGAACTACTAAAAACATATTACAAAAACCATAATTAAAAAACAATTATACACTGATAGAATTAGAACTATACACATATATAAAATCAGTTTAAACCATACCAATAATTACAATAAAAACAGCTTGGCACCAGCTCTTTAATTAAGAGCAGGCAGATCTCTAAAGCCTACTGGCAAAGGGAAGTCTTCACCTGCCAACAGAATGAGGAGGGAGCCAGTCTGGCTTCTCTAAGGAGGGAGTTCCAAAGTCTGGGAGCAGCCCTCTCCTACATCCCCACCAAGTGGCCCTACGAGGGTGGCAGGACCAAGAGAAGGGCCTCCCCTGAAGATCTCAAAACCTGGGCAGGTTTGGTTGAGGGAATACCATCTTTCAGGTACAGGTGTAAGAGAAATCAATAAGGTTTGGCTTCAGGATTAAGGATAATGAACTTAGTGCTGGCCAACAACAAGAGAGAATGTGATATGGAATAAGGTTGAGGGTGATATTTGGTGATTCATGTACTGCTTTAGCAACACAAAACAAAACTGTGCTAAAATGTTTTAACATGAAAAACCTCAGACTGCAGGAGAGCTAAATAACTGCTACACAAACTGAATCTAAAAGGTGAAAAACTATTTCTGCAACATTGCTTTGGACACTCTGTAGTATTCCACTGTGCACTTTGTAGTGTGTTCAGAGAACTCTGGATCTCAAGAGTTCAGGGACCTTTCCCAGGTACTTGGAATAAAGAGGAGCATCAGGTGAAGAACAAAAGTTGTCCTGTGGTTTGATTCCCACAGGGAACAGAAAATAATACCTTTTTACATCACCACTTGCAACAACCCACCTCAAGAGGAAAACCACACCTTACCTGTTCCCCTTTGTCACCTTTACTTCCCTTCTGTCCTGGTTCACCAATTTCACCCTATCCAACAAGGGGAGAACACAAACAGCATTATATTTTGTTAGAGCAATCAATGAAGTTTGGTTTCAGGATTAAGGATATTGAGCATTGCTCTGGTCAGCAATTGATAAGGGTTACGTGTGTGAGGGTGACATTAGCTTGGTTCATATCCTGCACTAGTTGTACAAGAACACTCTATCATGTATAACCACAGCTTGCCACATAATGCTAATAAAGCTGATTTTAAAAGGGCAAACTGATTATAGTAACTTGTTGAAACCTTTTTGCAACTTTTGTTAATTTTCCAGTATATTTGCTTGTTATGTGTCAACCACTGATTTAATCTTTTGCACTCTGTACAATGTTCAGAGTACCCACGGTACAGATGGACAAGGTGACTTTCCAGACATGCACATCAGAAAACAAAGGGATACCCTGGTGTACGTTTCAAATGGTTATCTTGTGGGCTCATTTCCACAACAATGTAGGGCAATCCCTCTGTAAAACGCAGGTTAAACAAAACCCAGTAAGAACATTAGCAAGGAGAGGAGGATATCCTTCACTGGATACATGCTAGATTGATAATTGATTAGTGGCAGGTTTTGCTAACCTGATTATTTGGGGGGTGGCAGGGGGTGGTATTGGGAAATGTCTCCTACCTTGTCTCCATCTTCCCCTGGTGGTCCAACAGGCCCTGCTGGGCCAGGTAGCCCAACTGGACCTTGGATACCATCACGACCAGCTGGTCCTTGAGGGCCTTTTTCACCCTAAGAAAGGTTAAAGGAGGAGGAGAAATCAAAATCCCAGATCAAATTCCTCTCCACTATATTGACATGTGTAACTTGCTCATTTTAAAACAAGCCTAGCTCCAATCCTTGCTCTGAGAAATAAAAAATAAAGTAAGATGATGATGGTGATACCCCACCCATCTGGCTGGGTTGCTTCCAACACATATAAGAATATAACAAAACATCAAAAATTAATAACTCTCTAGTTGTCTCTACCTCAAGAAGAAGATGAGGAGGAGATCTATATCAGAGAGTAAGTAATGAGCTCAGGCAGGATGGATCTCCCCTCCCATCAATGTGCAACTAAAGCTTTTTTTTTTCCTTTAAAAAAAAATATCATATATTAAGAAAGCACATATATCAGCAGCTTTATACAGAGTGAGACCCACTGGTCCATCTCTCAGTATTGTCTACCCTGACGGGCAGCACCTCTCCAGGATTTCAGGCACAGTATATTCACAGCTGCACCTGGAGTTGCCACCAGGAACTGAACCTGCATGTAATGTGATGTGAAGTACCACTGACCCAAGACACTGAATAACAATACAGGAAGGTGCCTTATGTTGAGTCAGAAATCAGGGATGGGGAAACCTTTGGCTCTCCAGTTGTTGTTTGACACCAACTCCCAGCAGCCCTTGCTGCCAGAATGAACAGGGATGATGTGAGTTAATGTACAGCAACATCTGGAGGGCCAAATGTGCTGCATTCCTATTCCACAATGTCTTTATCGGATTATATCCATGGTTTCAGGCAAGGAGTGTTTTTCCTAGCCCTGCCTGGAGAAACCAGTGGGGATCGAACATGGGGCCTTCTGCATGCAAGGCAGATTCTCTGCCACTGAGCCATGGCCCTTCCCTAAACACAAAGTAAGGTTTTAGTCCTTATAGTTCTCAAGAAAAGGCTGAATTAATTTGGAATATAGGAAGCTGCCTTACTCAGACTGCTGGTCCGTCTGGCTCAGGATTGTCTACACTGACTGACCGCAGGCAGTCTTCAGGGTTCCAGGCAGGGGGTGTTCCCAGCCTTACAAGTGGGGATTGAAAGTGGGACATTCTGCGTGAAAAGCAGATGCTCTGCCACTGGGCTGAAGCCTTCCGCAGTGGAAATATTCCGCCGTACATCCTAGCCAAGGTGCTATATTTCAGTGGGCAGACTTTTAGCTTCAAATGTCACTGATGCTTCGTATTGACTGGAGAAGAAATACTGCAAACTTTGAAATTAGCTTAGCTTCTTCAGTTGTCATTTCTGCATTGCATAGGGTTGGACTAGATTGCCCTTTGGGTCTTTTCCAACTCTAGACTTCTATGGCTTTATCATTCTTATGAGTTGCTGTTTCAAAGCATTTCCTTTACTTGAAGGCCTAGACTTAGAGTGTGAGCAGAGAGAGGTAGTTGCCCTGCACTCCCTCCCCCTGCCTGCAACAGGATGAATGTTTGATGTTTCTCTCCTTTCCAAGAGCATCACTTCATCCTCTCCCTTGAATTCCAGGCGCTCTCTGCAGTAACCAATCTGGCATCAGATAAACTACCCATTTCAGCTCTCTGAAAACATTACATATATAAACGCTACGGTGCAGACGTCTGCGACACAGCTCGGAGAGGGAGATTAGTGCCTCAGGCCTGGCTGCCATCTTTCAAAAACTCTACGCCAACACTCAGTTCAAGGTGGCAGGCAGGCAGGAGGGAAAAGGCCTTACTGAGGCTGTGTTTTCCACGCCTCTGAAAGCCACAAGCTGTGTGTGGTGGGAAAGAGAGAGAGATCATCATGGCCCAGAGTGGAGTGGAAAGGAAAGCAAGAATAATAATGATATTCTCCTGTAAGAAGGGTCATCAACCATCAACATCAACACCTACCCACCCATTCTGCCCAGTGGTACATCCCCAGTGACTGGGAGCCAGGAGATACACTGCTACTGAACATGGAAGCTCTCTATTGAATTATCATACCTTTAAAACACACACACACACACACAGAGAGAGAGAGAGAGAGAGAGAGAGAGAGAGAGAGAGAGAGACAGGCTTCTCCTCCACGCATCTCACCACATTACATGTTTAGATGGTTGATCCAAGTTTTAATCTTGCTTAGCCTATTGTGATTTTACCTTTTTGAAAGCCTTAAACTATCGTTCATCTTTTCTTACTGTTTTGTCTTTTTTTGTAAGCTCATTTTGAGGCTGTTGTCTTTTTAGGATCAATCAGTGTATAAATGATATGAAAATAAATAAATATATAACCCAACGTTACAGGCTATTTTGCTGAATTCTGCTGAGATTGCATGTGCTGTAGCCTATTATTTGCGAGTTCAATGGGCCCTGTCCCGTTTCTCTTTAATGTTCAATGTTTTATTATTTTTTGTATATGCTGGTACAAATAATAAAATCATTATTATTACTCAGAGTAGATCCACTCGCTCAGGTCTGCTCATTCTCATTGGCCTACACCAAGCAGAACTTAGGGCATGACCCTTTCAACTCAGAGTTACATCCCTAAAAAAAATATTGCCATTCTAAACAATTTAGCTTTGATTCCTGCATTGCAGGGAGTTCATTCCAAGTCTAAAATTCGATTCTTCTAACTAACCACTTGCATCACTTGCAGGATCGGACTACCCCAGCCCCACCCACTGACCGTGATCTGAATGTAAGACTTACCGGGGTCCCTTTCTCACCAGCAGGGCCAGGTGGCCCTTGTGGTCCAGGCCGCCCTGGCAGACCGATGGGGCCGGCTGAGCCAGCAGGACCTCGCTCACCAGGAGAGCCCTGGATGAGAGGATGGAGAGAGGGTTGGTGGACATCCAACAACAAGACAAAGGCTGCTATGAAACCATCAAAAATAATGTGAGTGTGGACAGCATTTGCTAACTTCAGGTTCAGTGATCTCTTTCAGGCTGCTTGCAGACCTGGAGCCCTCTTTAGTGAGGGGATGGGGACCAGAGCATAAGAGCACTCTTCCCTCCTGTGGCTTCCAGCAACTGGTACTTAGAAGCATTACTGCATCCAACTGTGGAGGTAGAACATAAGAAGATCTCTTCTGGATCAGGCCAGTGACCATCTAGTCCAGTTCCCTGTTCTCACAGTGGCCAACCAGATGTCAGTGAGAATCCTGAGCAAAAGAGCACTCTCTTGTTTCCTGTGATTTTCAGCAACTGTTATTCAAAGTATTACTGCCTCTGACTGTGTAAACAGAGCATTGAAGGTTCAAACTCTGTATGAGACAATTGCATATTCCTGCATTGCAGGGGGTTGGACTAGAATGATCCTCAGGGACCCTTCTAATTCTACAATTTTCTATGCTTTTATGCTTCTAACAACTACTAGTTCTCAAAATAGAAAAATTAACATCCATAAACAATGTATAGCGGCTTTTTAAACATCATGCTGATGTTTCCATTACATTGAGATCAATGTCAGTTGTTACCTACATGATGTAAAAAGTTACCTAACTTACATTAAGTAGTGGACAGTGAGACTAATAACATAGTATTGGGAAGAAACTGAACTGCAGCAGCATGTAAACAGCAGTGATTGTGACAAATGCAGGTCAAAATCAAAATCACAGCCTCGTTACACCCTCTACATAAGGGCTACTCTTCCAGCTTCCTAATGGGTCAACATACTGCTGGCTCTCAAACAAGCATAGAACCCCACTTTATGTAGAATTAATACAGGAAATCCAGTCCTACCAAAGAACCCAGGGCCAGACACCAGATACCACAGTTTAGGTGCAGCAATTTGCTTTGATTAGAAGATAAGCAAACAAAGAACTGAACAGTCTGCAGCGTTTCTAAGGTGGAAGAATTTGGCTGTTGGCAAATGTGAAGATTCAAGGCAATTCTAAGTTTTGTACTTACTGCTGGGCCTGGGGGTCCAGGAGGTCCTTCATTGCCCTTCAATCCCACAGGTCCCTGCAGGCAAGAAGATGGGAGAGAAAGAGGAGAAAGGTCACCCAAATGGAAAAGTAGCAGATGACCAATCAGGCTTTTGTTAGGGGAAGTCAACTGTGTACCAGTGCTTTTTTAAAAACCATTTAAGAGAGAAATATGCAGGCACCCTCAAGAAATATTTAAATGATGTTTTTGGCTATCTGACCTCAGCCTTTGATATAACCAACAAAGCTATGCTCTGGCTCAAATTATGGAAGCTAGGGATGGATAGTCGACTGGTGACCATAATTAATAACCTGTGCACTGGAAATACAATGTAAGTTAGAGCAGACAGACAATGTCAGCTGTCAGCTGTACAGTCAACAAATGTGTAAGGCTTGCTGGCCCCTTTTTTGGTTATCATATATGTGAATGATATCATTGTCCACTCATCCAATAAAGCTACCCTTCCAGCATTCCCAGGCTCACAGAAAAGGAACATATTGAGGTACACCAATTATATGGTTCTGTCATCTCAGACTCAAACTGGTATGCAGAAACTATTAAAATTGTTTGGGGGAAATTAGCAGAAGGCACACCATGATGCTTCCAACGTAAGTCCTGTTACTTACGATTGGACCAGGAAGACCCCTATCTCCTGGGAATCCTCTCAGACCAGATGGACCATCTTTTCCAGGAAGGCCAGCAGGACCCGGGTCACCCTGCAAGGAAAGGTTCAAGGTTCAGAATTGGAAGGAGAAACTCATTGCTTATTTGCACAGTTGGATTTTTTAAAAAACAAAAGTTTTGTTTTTAACATTCTGTTTATAATGTGAGGATTCAAATGTTAAGAACAGAAATTAGTAAAATAAAAATAATAAACAAAATGTATTTTAAAAAAACAACAAATCAAGAGGCATTTTAAAAAAAGCAATTCCTATTCCTTGGGCCATTTTTAAAAACGTTTCTTGTTTTAACAGAGAGAGAGAAATCAAATTGATGAGGGACATCATTAAGTTCTCCCTTATGGTCAATACAGACCAATCCTACCTGGGGAGGGGCTATAGCTCAGGGGTAGGTAGAGCATCTGTTTTGCATGTAGAAGGTCTTGCTCAGGTTCAGTCCTTGATTGCATCAAAACAGACTCACCTTTGTTCCTTCCTTTCCAGCTAAACCAGGAAGTCCTTGTTCACCTGGAGGACCAGGGGGCCCTGGATGGCCACGCTCACCCATTGGACCAGTTTCCCCAGTAGGACCCTACGAAGAAAGCATAGAGAGTAATTAAATGCACAGAAGGAGATACTTCTTTTCCATATGACACTGAAAGCAAGAACAACACATGCAAAAATACCGGAACAGGAGAGAGGGAGCTTGATCTGAGAGGTATATCAAACTCTGTGGTTTAGCAAGAATAAGTAAGTCCCAAGTGCTGCAACCTTTTCACATCTATAAAAGTCTGTGCATATTTGTATATTCTGCCTAAGGACTGGGACTGTTTTAAATAGTTATGCAATCTGCAACTGAATGAATGAATACATCTATGTACATCTTGGTGGTCCTGACCTTTCTGCTCCCTTAGCCGCTCTCAGACCAGTGGAGAGGGAGCAACAGCACTGAAAGGGCATATCCACTTTTCCATTTGTCCCAAGTTTTCTACTGCTTGTTGCAGTGCAGATTAGTACTGCCACAAGTTTTGTCTGGGATTCTGGGTCCTCATCCCACACCTTCCTCCACAACTATTCAATGAGGCACCCATAGAAGCTCACAATATCCTGTCTATCACTGTTCCACTTTTCTTCCTTCTTAACCACCCCTTTCTCTGCCCCCTTGTGCCACAGCACTGCAGTGCATGCCCTGTTTTCCTATTGCTCTTTTTCAGAGGTTCTTGAAGTCCATTTTGTTCCTGTGCACATGTTCACAAGCACACAATTAATAATAAAATAATAATAATAATAATAATAATAATAATAATAATAAATTTAAAAAAATATTGCCACTTCTCTGGAACCCCCAAGGGGAAGTCCAACAAGAGCAAGTTAAAAATAGACTGTAATTTGATTAACATTAAAGGAAGACCACTCACATAGCCCATAATGTAAACATTTAAGGTGTCAACAGCACAGGGTGCTGACCGCTGCTGCAGCCAAGGAATGGGGGGCTACGTGGATGGTTGACATTCCCCTGTTATTCCCCATTTTTGCATTGTGGTCACACATCTGATACTACTGGCACTGGAAAGGGAAGCTGCTTTCGCTCTCACACACGTACACATATATGTGCAATGCCCACATGAGTGCAAAAGGGGAAACCTTTTGTTAAAAAAAATAGTGTAGGGCAGAGAACCAGAAGTGCACATCAAGAGGCTCCGGAGACAACTGGAAATTTTTACACAAGGCATGGGCGGAGACAGAAGTGGGGAGGTGAAAGAGGAACACCTACACAATGTGTCACAAGGGAAAGTGTGTGTTTTTCCATTCAGGAGCCCCCCAAAAAGGAATGGATCAGAAGAAGAACCTATTTCTAATTGGGTTTTAATGGGTATTTCGTTTGTTCTGTAAAAAAAACAATTTTTTGTAAAAAACAAAACGGTTTTCGCATTTCTGCATTGGGCTTATTGCAATGATAAGCTTTCAGATCAGTGCTACTGACCCGATGCAAATTATAAGAAAGCATGAGACAAATGGGAGTGTGGGCAGACCCCTAAGTGTCCCAATCCTGCATCTCCTCACAAAGGAAAAGCAAACATCACAAAACTTCTCATTGACTCCATTAACAATGCCTTGGCAACATGCTGTTTCCAAAGATTACACTAATTACGTTTTAGCATATCCAAACAATAATTACCAGGCAGTCGACTTTTACACCCCAGAAAGCAGACACAAACATGGGCTTACAGAATTAACTCTGCCATTAATCCAACAGGGTCTACTAATTGCTAGATAATTGGATAGTTGGCAGTTCTCCCTGTAAGGTTGGGAGAAGGAAATTGGCAAGAGGATAGGGTGGTTTGGTCTGGGTGGGGAGGGGGTGCTTACCTGAGGACCGACAACTCCCGGAGGCCCAGGGGGACCTGTCTTGCCTTGGAAACCCTGTTTGAAAAAAGTAAATAAGAAATTACTGTTTTAAAAGAGCAGTGGATAGCTAAATAAATTGCTAATCTTTTATCATGCAAGATAATGATCCAGCTGACACTGATTAGCTTATTTTCTCCAAATAAGTTTTCTTATCGTCTTAGAAAGAGGGAGAAATCCCAAAGGACTTGATACATATTATCATTTACGCTTGGAGTGTAAGTTGGTGCAAGATTCTTGGAATTTAATTTTGACAGAAATGATAGATATTACTAAAGAAACACTTGTTTGTTGTCCAAAATTAATTTTAGTGAATATTTTCGATGGTACCAATGTAGATATATTGTCAAAAGAACTGGTCTTAGGTATGACAGTAGAACAAATTCACTCAGAAGGTGGTAGACTCTCCTTCATTGGTTTTTTTAAAAGCAGAGATTGGATGGCCATCTGTCATGTATGATTTAGTTGAGATTCCTGCATTGCAAAGGGTTTGACCAGATGACTCTCAAGGTCCCTTCCAACTCTGCAATTCTATGATCTATATTATTGGCAGTTGAAATAGTAATTACAACTCAGTTGAAAACAGTGCAAAATCTGACACTGGACACGGTGCCACTTACTTTGGAATATAGCTAAAATGGATAAAATTATGCATAATTTTAAATTTCGACAAGGACCAGAACCTCACATACTTTTAATATGATTTGGCATTCCTTTATGACATATACAATAGAGCCATCATTTTCAAGACAGCCTTGTCACCAGCCTGGCAAATCTGGAACTAGACTTGATAATTAGGTAATGTTGATTGTCTTTACTTAAGAGTGGCCTTGCTATTTTAACCCATGTGCAAGTGGACTCATTCTAGCTGCCTATTTTGTAGTTATGTTTGTCATATTTTGTTTTCATTTTCATCTGTTGCTATAACTGTTCTGTCTGTTTTATATACATTATATATAAAATCCTGAAGGAGATAGCAATAGGGAAATGAAAGGTGACAGAAGGAGTATCTGAATATTTGCAGGTTGTCAGATGGGAAAGCAGATTATATGAGGTTCAAAAGTTTGGTTGTTACTGAACCAAAACTTTCCACAGATTGGAAGGTGTGTGAATCAAGTGCAACAGAACTGATGGTTTGCACAAAACTCCCCCAAATCCAGCACAATTAGCTGGTAATGATGAGAGTTGGGGTGCAAAACATCAGAAGGGCACCAGCTTTCAGCAGAGGAGGCTGGTTTAGACTGTAAGACTCTGATGAATGAGCTCTAAGAAGAAAAAGGGAATTGTAAGAACATAAGAAGAGTCTGCTAGATGAGGCCAGTGGCCATCTAGTTCTGCATCCTATTCACTTAGTGGCCTAAGAGATGCCCTAATGGGAAGCCCACAAGCAGGACCTTAGTAGAAGAGTAAAGCCATAAACTCCTGTTCCCAAGGAGGCAGGAATTCTCAGTTGTCATTTAAAGAAGAATGGTGGCAACCGGCTACAACCCAACCAAAGGAATACTGATGATGGTGCTATGGCCCACATTCCCCCACTCATTTTATTGCCCCCTGAAAACTGCTGAAATGTCCCCTTTTTATTCCTTCTGAATAGGGTTGCCTGTTGTACTTACCACTGATTTTCAAATAATGTCTAGGATGTTTATCAGTGGCTCCTCACAATGAAAAGATCAGCAATGGCAGACAAGGCCCCATAAAATGCTACGGTTGGTGTTTCAATATATCTTGAGTGTCATGGTTCATCTTCCAAGAGATCTTGACCATGGTTAGTCTTCCAAGATACCTTGACTGCCATGGGTGGCCTTCCAAGATATATTGAATCCCATGGTTGGTCTTATAAGATATAATGAATGCCATGGTTGGCCTTCCAAGATATCTTGACTGCCACAGTTGGTCTTCCAACACACTTCCCCAGCAGAAAGTTGAACTCTCATTCTGCAGTGGAACATGCCCAAGAATCCTCTGCAAAGCATACAAATACACAGAACACAACCACAGATCAAGTACCTATCAGAATGGGGAATATCTCTGTGTACTTACAGTTTCACCTCTCTGCCCAGGATGTCCTGGCAACCCGTCCTTTCCTGGTGGACCCTAGAGGGGGAAAGAAAATGCTAAGAGGACACAGCCAGCAAGATTTTATTCACATACAAGGTGTGATGAATCCGAGCCAGTGGGTTGTCTTGTAGGAGTTTTTAAAGCTCTGTTTTGGTTTACTGGGTGCATTGGTGGGTCAAGGGCAGATGCTTCTCTCACTGTTGTACTTACTGGAGGGCCTTTGGGTCCAGGAAAGCCAGTAGGTCCTTGGGGCCCTGGAGGACCCTTAGAGACAAAAGAACACAAGAAAGTTAGTGTTGCCACCTGGTGATGCTAAAGCAATTGGCCTCTCACTTGGGGGTGGGCTCTAGAGCAAGGGGTGGGGCAGGTTTGGTAAAATCTCAAGATCCATCTGTCAGGGGCAGGTGCATAATTACAGCAGAGGGAGGCTCTTCTGTTGTTGTTATTACTACTACAACTTTCCTTCATAAGAACGTAAGAAAAGCCTGCTGGATCAGGCCCATGTCCCATCTAGTCTAGCATCCAGTCCTAAAAGGAAACCTGCAAGTACAATTCAAGGACAAGAGCCCTCTCCCCTCCTGAGATTTCCAGAAATGGGTGTTTAGAAATGTTACTGTCTCCCTCCAGGGAGGCAGAGCATAGCCATTGTGGCTATCAGAAATTGATAACCTCCTTCTCCTCTATGAACTTGTCGAATTCTAGTTTAAAGCCATCTAGGTTGGTGGCTATCACTGCCTACTGCAGAAGCAAGTTCCCCAGTTTCACTATGTGCTGTGTGAAGGAGGACTTTCTTTCCTCTGTCCTGAATCTTCCCACATTCAGCTTCACTGAAAGTCCACAAGTTCCAGTATCAGGAGAGGTGGGTGGGAAACCTCTCTCTATTCTCTCCCCCCTGCTGTGACATCATTTTATGAACTTCTATCAAGTTGCCCCTTGTTTATCTCTCATCTAAGTTCCTGTCAGATTCTGTTATTTTCTTACCCTTTCGCCTGGAGGACCAGGGGGCCC